TGACGTTTGAGGAGCGAATCACACACGTCAACGCGACGACACAAATTTCGCTCCGTAAGGACATGGGGCACCCACACATCGAGCTTCGAGGTTAAGCCCATGCCTTTCAAATGGCCATAAACAGTCGAATTCGACAAATTTAATCTCTCACCGATCTCTCGTGTGGTTATTCGCCGATTTGCATCAACTAATGCGTTTATCGCATCTTTGTCAGCTTCGACCGGCCTTCCAGACCGTGGTGCATCTTCGACATCAACATTGCCGGATCGAAATTTTGCAAACCAGTTCTGGCACTGGCGTACTGTTAACACGCCTTCTCCATACACATCCGTCAATTTTTTTCTCGCTTGGACAGCATTTTTACCTTTTCTGAAGTAAAAAAGTAAAATATGACGAAAATGCTGCTTATTGCTCTCTATATTTAAAAGGGCACCAACCAAAAACTACTGCGTAGAATTAATAGAACTTTTTCACACACAAGCCTTGCAATATCAGCTCTCAAGGCATATAATGGTTATGCGGCTTAAGTGTGAAGTTGGTTTCGAAAAAACGTAATTAAGTCCTCTGACGGGAAAAAACGAAATGACTTTCCGAACAACCTTATAAAAAGTGTGGGTTTGTATTTTTAACTTTACTATGCTTCAATTGTTTAATGATAAAACTAAAGGAAACTAGTTACAGTAACTAAAATCAGCAGAAATTTTTGACAGGAAATGGGAGGTTAAAGTCATCTTGGAAGTTTTAATAAAATTTAAACCATTTAGACGATAGTGTACTCATTTTTGTATCAATATCAGTAATGTATTAACGTCATTATTAAGACAGAGGACGTGATTTTGACAGATACGACTGTCAAAATTTAAAAATAGCACGTCGAATTCAAAACGATCGGAAACCTCACATGAAAATACCTGAGAATTTAAATCAAAAACCAATTTAGAAAGCGATTCGAGTCAATATGTCTAATTTTATGAAGAACCTCGTGAATTTCTTGGACGAGTAATTGACATCAAAATGTTGAATTATGCTTGTTTTTCAATAAACTGCAACTTTTCGCTAAATTTTAGGTTTATTTCATTTTTATTTTTATCATTTTAAGTTCCAACAAATTCAAACATAAACGTCACTGTCCTTTTGGTTCAGGAATTCAGAATTGATTCATAATAATTGCCACTTTAAAAACTAATGTAAGAAATGCAGCGAAAATTCCAAAATGCGTACATCAAACTAACCAAACTTTTTCATCATGTGCATTAACACTTTTACCTGTTCAGAGTGTTCCAGACTTCATTTTTCAGACGCAAAGTTCGCAAAACCGCAGTTTATAAACATCGCGTATAGAAGGAGAGATCAAATCAATCAGAAACGCGTTTTTAAAAAATAATAAACAGTACGACCAACGGTAACAAACAGCAAAGAGAAATAGCTGACATTTTACTGTTCCAATTTCCGATCATAAATTAAAAAATTCAAACGCACGTCGAGCCTTATGTCGCAGCCACCTGCCGCAAAATTATAGACCAGATACATCGTATTTAATGTCGGCGCGCTGAGCTCGATGAAAGTAGAAAAAATCTCCGATGATCCGTTAAACTAGTGAAACGTCGTCGGGGCGTGAACACGGCGCAACTAAATAAAATGATAATTCCGATCGGGAAAACTGTCTTTGTTTATTTGCGGCAAATTAACGAAGGCGGCGCGGCGAGGCCTAGATCGCGATTTTTCCCTGCGCGACGAAAGTGATTTTGATTTCCATAATGCGCCGGTTTTACGTTATCATTTTATTCAGATAATGACAGTGATTGAGTTCGCGAAACGAAAGTGACTGCGAGAATTAAAGAGGCACGCTTATAAGTGTTTTTATGATCGTGTTTTTCAAATGGGAAATGATATTAAAGTTCATATAGTTTTTTTAATACTCAAAAATAACGGAATGGCAAGTTGCCAAAATATTTTTTTTTATGAATTTTCCTTAATACCTTTCTTTCCAGTTTGTCGATTAACATTAAATTTAGCACACTTAATGCCAAAACTGACCAAAACTGATTTAAAACCCTTAATCCAAAGTTAGTTAAGGTCGTGGCTTGGGAAAATTACCTGTTTGTTGACTTTTTACAAATTTTAAAAGCTCACAATGAAAGACCATTTAAAAAGCCTAAGACTGCCAGTATTCATTAATTCTATCTTATCTTTAAGCCATATAGCTACTACAAAGAGAGAAGCCCCGCCTAATATTGACAATACAGGAACTGAAGAGAATTTTGAAAAGATATATGCGACATTTTTATGGCAGTATTTTTTCAGAATATATCCGGAATCTTTAGGAAAAAAGGAGTTGAAAAAATACTGTAATTTCAAGAAAGAGCAAAATATTGAAGGCAGCGGTTATACTAGTCTCTGAGTCACATATAAGGCACCTTTGAATCTTTTCAATTGACTTGTACATAAGGCAACACACTTAACCCCTCACATCCTTATTCTTAGTTTGCCAGTGGGCCACACAAACATCAAAAAGTACGGAGATAATCCCCACATCAAAAAGTAAAAACAACAATAATTTCGGAGACTGATATAATGTAATAAAAATAAATAATTTTCTAGAAAAATTCAAACCCCCACAATTAAGGGGTAGGTGATAATATAATTAATAGTTTTAAGTTATTTTCCCCAATCAAATTCAAAATACTGTCAAAATGTATATTGTTGATTTTGCTTTGAAAATTGTTAAACAAAAAGCAAAATTTATCGCCATTCATTCATGAAATGGAAATCTCGAAAGGATAAGTTATAAAACTTTTTTTAGTGTATTTTCATTGCAAGCTTTTAAACAAAAAATTTTGAGGACATTTTCTTAGAACCGTGGGCAGCTTTGGCATTAAGTAAAGTTAAAGTTAAAGTATCAAGGAAAATCGGAAAAGTAGAATTAATAAAATAAAAACTCAATTATTCTTTTACACCCTGTAATTCCCCAATTTTTTCAAAGTTTTTGAAAAAGTAGTATGAAATTAATTTTGGAATGAGCTCTTTTTTGCGGTCGCGCTGTATAATAAATAATCAGATACTGAAAATTAAGAATGACACTCTCATAAATCTAAAAATTGCAAAACCCTGATAAAAAGCAACTAGTGGTGTGTGTGTAAGCCATGTTTATATTATATTTTTGTTATACTTTTTTATTTCTTAAAAACAAGCTTAGTTCATTCTTTTACGAATAAATTGTTGAATAATAATAATAAAATAGAATATATTATTAAAAAGAATTACAAAAAAATGGGGAGTTAATAATAATAATAATAATAATAAACAAGATTACATTTGGCTTTAAATTATGGCCTGAATATTACTTTTTACTCTTCTAGTGTATTGTAGAAATGATTCTCTTTTATTATTTCGTATTTTATTTTTGAAAAATATACTTAATGAAGATAAAATCAGATATTTTGAACTTTCTTTGTCTGTGTCTGTGTCTCTCGACGTTTCAAGTGTTCAAAGTGTTTCCAGTCACCTACAGCTAAGAGAGTTACAAACAAATGGGGAGTTATTATGACAATAAATAATTAACAAAGTTGTTAATAAAAACAATAATATTAGAAACAAGTTTGCTTTTAGCTTTAAATTATTGCTGAAATATTACTTCTATTGTATTGTACAAATAATTCTCTTTTATTATTTCATATTCTATCCTTTGTCTTTATGATTTTTTTCTCACGACATTTCAACTGTTCAGGTGCCTCCAGCCATCTTCAGCTAAGTTTATTTTATTTACGTATAAATAATTGCATAATAATAATAAAATAGAATTTCTTATTAAAAAGAATTACAAAAAAATGGGGGTTATTACAACAATAAACAATTAACAAAGTTGTTAATAATAACAATAATAAACAAGATTGCTTTTTACTTTTCTAGTGTATTGCACAATTGATTCCTTTTATTGTTTCGTATTCTATCTTTTTTTTTAATATTCTTAATGATAGTAAAATGAGATATTTTGAAATTTCTTTGTCTTTATGATTAACTCTTACCACGTTTCAACTATTCAAGTGTCCCCAGTCTCTTTCAGGTGAAAAATGTATTGCATTGTACCAAATCTTGTTTTATAAAGATTTGTCATTTACCTTCAAACAAACATACTTATTGGTTTCACTATTTTTGACTTGCTATTACTGGCGATGCGAATGGTTTATAATTCTATTCTAGTAAATATCACTGAAGTTGCAGTTTCTAAATAAGTTTTTGAGTTATCTTCCAGGACAGATTTCGGTTTTTTTAGGAAATATTTTTAACGTTAATTATTTAAATATGCCGCATTAAGTTTACACAACTTGAATAAAGGTAAGACATTCTCAAGTAACGAACAGGTAATTGAGTAGAATATACATGAATCTCTCTGACTTACTCTAGTAAAAGGTTTTGGTCTATGCAAAATGCACGAAAAGGACATGACGGACCTAAAGTAATCATCCAACACCATTATCCATCCACCAACACTTCCAAGCAACATATGTAGTGCAGGCGGATCAAAACGAACCTAACAACTTTATCAACTCTAAAGTCATATATCGTCGTCTCGCCTTCAGTTGACACCTACAATTCAAAAAGGAGAACCCATCAAAACAAATACCGTCTAAATCCTTTGGGTAAACTCGTCGGAATATCCCCATAGACGAGCGTATATTACACCGAAGAAATAAAGCAGACAATTATAGGAAACAGTCCAGCACGTATGGAAGCATCTCTTCCGTTACACAGGACGTCGAGTGAATCCGTTCGCGTGGCTGCACACCGAGCGTTGACCATCACGATTTCGCGTTGACCATTACCATATTATATCCTAAATTATGGCGAGCATTAATTAAAAATTTAATCATTTTACCCTAACGATAACAGTTACTCGTTCATTTTTATTATTACGTAAAATAGGTCGCCCTTAACCACGTCACTTTTGTGTTTAGACCGGCGCCGTGACCGGAAAAACAAATGAAAAACTAGCCGGCCAGACTAAGGTCACGTCACGATGAACACAGAAGGACGGTTTAAAAACAGACTAAGGACGTTTTGGGGACATTTTGTGAAAATAAAGTTCAAAAGTGCCTCGCTCTCTGGGACACCAGCGGACGTTATACTATTTCTAGGTCTAGTGTTAAGTTTTAGTGTAAACAGGGTGGTCGCCAATAGACCGCCGCGATTTTTGATGGACGGCCAACCAGAAATCGTCTTAAGACTGAAAGAAGGCGAGGAAACTCCCATAGGTGAGCCAAACCTGATCATAGTGCACACCGATCTACGTTTTCCTCGCACTCCGTAGGATCGCTACTCTACTCCTTGAAAGGTTTTGATCCGGACGACGACAAGCTAGAGTTTGGAATCGTACCAAGTGCCGGAAGCAACGTCATAAGAATAGAAAACACCTCGAGTACCGAAGCAGAGGTGTACCTCGACAAACTGCTAGACAGAGAGGTGAAGCGTTTCTCGCTGTGCCGTTCAGAATTAACGGCACCATCTTGTTGACAGGAACGTGACGAATACGCGTTGGTCCTAACTCTGACTGACGGTCACTTGGGCCTAGGCAACTACATCACTCAGAGCCTATTGATTCTCGTCGAAGATGTCAACGACAATACCCCTACGTTCAAGAAGCACCGATCATCCGTGACGTTGAAGGAGGACGCCAAGCCACGAATCCTGGCAAAGCTCGAAGCGACAGATGCCGATATAGGTCCCTACGGTCAAGTGGTTTACCATTTCGCAAATGACGTCGACCGAGACCTGTTTGGTTTGAGTACTACTAGAGAAAAAGCGGTCGTACGCTTAATAGGTAAGGGAAATAATTTATTTCGGCACATCGAAAATGTCTTTCTCGCAGGCCCCTTGGATTACGAAAAACAAACGGTCCACCAAATCAAAGTTTTGGCGGTAGATCGGGCCAAAGAAGGCAGGGTAAACACCGGAACCGCCGTTATTTTGGTTAAAGTCGAAGACGTGGAGGACCAGCCTCCGGAATTCGTAAAAGTCACACCGGTTGTTAGGTTATCGGAAAACAGCCCGATAGGTTCCCCAGTCTTGCAGGGTACTACGGTCCATTGGGATACGAATTTATTTTACAATTTCGGATTTCGTAGTGACCGCCGTGGATGGCGACCGCGGAATCAACAACAAAATCCAGTACTACCTATCCACCAATAACCTAGAGCAAGTTGCAGACTTGTTCAACGTCGAAGAAGATACAGGGAGGGTGGTGACCGCAGGGGTAATAGACAGAGAGGCGCTGCCGTTGGGTTCCAGTTCTCACATCCTGGAGATTATAGTAAGTACGTGGTGGAAATTGTAAAGAGCATTATCCAGTGTCGCGCGTTCCAGGCTACGGAAGTGGGAGGCAGCATAAATCCGCAGCCGTATGCGACTACCGAAGTCACCATCATCATAACGGATGAAAACGACGAAACCCCATCTTTCGCAAACCCATTTTACGAATGCGAAATCGCCGAGAACTCCCCTAGGAACACACCCGTGACTTTCTTGGGGAGCTCGTCGCCTGAGGTGTTTGATTTCGATCAGGGACTCAACGGTACCTTCCAGTTATATTTGAAGGGCGGTAGCGAAGTGTTCGAGTTGCTACCCAAACGAGTAACCAACGAAGCGACGTTCAGTATCAAAGTCAAGAACAACACGGCTCTGGACTATGAGAAAATTCGACAAATCAACTTCACGATCGTGGCCAAAGAGGTCGTTAAAGACAACCCGAAATTCAGCGAGGTGCCAGTCACCGTTCACGTCCTGGATAGGAACGACAACTATCCAGAGTTTACGACGAGTTATTACGAGGTATCCGTACCCGAAAATTGCGAGGTAGGCACCACAGTAGCGTGGGTGCAAGCCCTCGATGAAGATTCCGATAATTTCGGTACTCTAGGAGTGCGGTATACGAACATTGCCGGAACCATTGCCTATATGTAACAGTGCTTCTATTTTATAGTGCATTTACTAACGAGGTTACGCTTTTAGGTTGGACATTAATCCCATTTCCGGAATTGTGACCGTGAAAATTGAAGGTGGTCCGAACTGGGACCGGGAACAAATCTCCAGACATTTCCTCACGGTGGAAGCTCGAGATGATTTGGGTCACGGGAACCGCAACTCTGTACCCCTGATCATAAACTTAGAAGACGTCAACGACAACCCGCCCGTATTCACCCAAAACAGGTACGAAGCGAGGGTGCTGGAAGGAAAATTCAACTTTGAAAATCCCCTGAACGTAGAAGCCAGAGACGCAGACCTTAACGGTAATCGATCCCACTCTTAATAAAACAAAATTCGCAAGGAAGTTTTTCTTCCAGGCACCAAGAACGCCGAAATAGAGTACTACCTGTTTGGACCGTTCCACGAAAACTTCACCATAGACTCCGTAACAGGCAAGATTTCGTTAAAAGAGCCGCTCGATTTTGAACTACTAGTAGGACCGCCAAAGGAAAACATCAGAATTTTGCCTTTGTCGGTTAGGGCGAGAGATTGGGGTACCCCGAGCCTCTTCAGCGACGTAGAGCTGCTAGTTTATGTGGAAGACATCAATGACCACACTCCCGTATTTGAGGAATCCTTCTACAACGTCAGCATACCGGAAAACATCACCGGTGGAACCGACATTATCCAAGTACAGGCCTATGATGATGACGGCTCCTCGCCCAATAACCGAGTGGTCTACCGGATCCAAAGCGGAGCTCTGGATAAATTCGTTATTGATTCGGAATCAGGTATCATCTCCGTGGCTCACGGAGCAAACTTGGATCCGGATTTAACGCAACCGAAGAAGATGCATTACTCGCTGAACGTCTTGGCTTTGGACGGGGGAAGTGGAGATTATCAACTCCAAGCTGCCGTGACGGTGGAAATTTTAATAACGGACATTAATAACAAAAGGCCGAAAATTTCTCAGCCGTTCGAAGTACTCATAAACGAAAATTCTCCGGTGAGTATATACACACGCGTTTTCCAAAATAATGGGTTTTCTTAGGTAGGGGTACCCGTGACGAAAATCAACGCGACTGACCTGGACGACTCTGCAGATCTACGGTACACAATCGACTCCGATAAGTGCGAAGCCAAGAACGAGCTCGGGGTTGTGTTGAAACCCTCTGAGGTGAATTGCTCTAGTTTCTTCTCGGTGAGTTCAAAGACTGGACTTATCACCATAGCACGACTGATAGATAGGGAGACGGTCGAGTCTTTTCGTTTAGGAGTGCTGGTTAGGGATGATAATTCGGACACAGGCCCTCAGCAAGATTCAGGTATGAAATGACGGTTGTGATTAATGCAAACCGACCAATAACATCGTTTCAGCCTTCATCAAGATCAAAGTTGAAGACATTAACGACAACAGTCCCAAGTTCGATCAGCCTTATTACAAGTTTGCCGCGCAAGAGAACAGCAAAATCGGGGTTCCAATTGGAACCGTCAGGGCCTACGACGCGGATAAAAATAAAACCGTTACGTATTCGCTAGACCAAAAGGGATATTATCTGGGCCTAATCCACTTGGACAACAACACCGGTAACATCGTCGTAGCTCATAAGGTCGACCACGAGGAATTCCAGTGGCTAAATTTTACCGTCAAGGCGACCGATTCTGGCATCCCGTCTAGATCTAGTCGCGTGGAAGTCTTCGTTCAAGTGCTGGACGAAAACGATAACAACCCGGTGTTTTTGCCCGAACCCAAGTGGTTGGTGATACCCGAAGATATACCGGTCGGCACCGAGATAGCGACAGTAAACGCGACAGACGCGGATTCGGGAGAGTTCGGGAAAATCACCTACTTCCTCGACAGACTGTCTTCCCACGAGAAGTTTCAAATCGACAGCGATACCGGGACCCTGATAGTAACCGACGAGCTAGACAGAGAGGAAAACGACAAGTACCTGCTGATAATAGAAGCGTGGGATAATTACCAATACGGATTTAACAACGGGGAAAGTAGGAACGCTTTCAAGCATCTAAAGTGAGTCGACGCATCCGAAATCCGTCGCCAAGTAACTCTTTGGTTTCCAGCGTGACCATTTTTGACGTGAACGACAACAGACCCCATCTTCATCAGGAATCCAAATGCGTCAATATAACTGAGTTTCAAGAACCCGGTGAACCGATCACCATCATCCACGCGAGCGACGCTGACGATCCCAACACATCCAACGGCCAGGTACCAAATGACTTCGACGCGAACTAGATGAATACCTCCTCCATTTTAGGTGATTATAGATATAGCGGACGGTAATCAAGACAATTTGTTCGAAGTGGATCAAATATCCGATTGGTCCGCCGAAGTCAGACCAGTTTCTTCCCTCAGAGGGTTGCACGGGGACTATACCCTGACGATACGTGCCCAAGACTTGGGAACCCCGAGCTTCTTGGTCGAGAAACCATTGAAAATCTGCGTCGCAGACTACAACGACCACCCGCCGGTCTTCGTATCACCTCCTCACAACTCCACACTGAGAGTTCCAGAGGTTTGACTGTTTTAGACTAAATAGTCACTTACTCTAGAGACGTTTTTGTTTTGCAGAATGCTACAATTGGAAGTGCACTTATTCAAATAAAGGCGACGGATGAAGATTTCGGGCCAAATGGTGCTGTGAGGTACAGGTTGAAGTCGGATCCGGCGGGACACTGGAAAACGTTCGAACTGCAACCCGTTTCCGGAATTTTGGAACTGAAACTGCCGCTCGACAGGGACGTTCAGAAAATTTACGACGTACGTCAGCCAGTCGCGTCCCCATTCCCATAACTCATACGAGCGGTTTTGCAGCTACGAATCGAAGCGTACGATTTGGGGATCCCCACGTCTCTAAGTTCGGATTTGGACTTGACGGTATACGTCACGGACGTGCACGGCTACCAACCTCAGTTTCTAGTCGACGAATTTGTCGTCGAATTCACCGAGAATACCAACCCGGGCGTGGAATCGCGACGATTGCCGAAAACTCTGGACAGAGACAAGTTCGAGTACGACGGTCCAGCGGCGCCAGTCTGCTACTTTATTGTCGGCGGCAATGAAAACGGGTTATTTTATTTAGACCCTTTCGACCATACAATTTCGGTAAGACTTACCATAGAGTTTGGGTAGAGAATTTCATACTCTTGAATCGACCCAAATTCAAGAGTTCGAACTCCATGTTTTCCAGTTATGGTAAGGGTATAACGTGTAGTCGTTCTGCGATCCTCCTACGCCGCTGTTAAAGATATAAGTCATCATAATAACTTCCCTTGCACAAAAGTTACTAGCATGAAATGAGGTAATATGTAAAGGGTGCGATCTTTAAGGCTGTTTTTTTTTTGAATACGTATTCAAGTGACTAACTTTGTGGCGGGAAAACTGACCATTATAACCTGAAACCATTTAATTATTTTTCTTTCTAGGTCTGGTTTCTTCAGTTATTTGGTAGCATTTGATACTTGCCGCTCTAGAATAAAAATTAATCAGCTATCCCTTCTAAAGCAGTTTCAAAAAAATTCAGAAATGAATAATTTCGTTTTAATGGACATTCTATGGAATTCTTTATGGACGTCACGTTTCAGATTACCAGTACCCTGGACCGAGAAGAGACCGATCTTCATTTAATATTCGTAAAAGCGACAGAGAATTGCGCGAACCCGCCGAAACCCCAAAACTCTTTCGACGCCAACGACGACACTCAAATAAAAGTTATCGTAAAGGTTTTGGACGTCAACGACAACCCGCCTAAATTCACCAGGCGTATATTTACCGGAGGGGTGAGCACGGCGACCCCATTCGGAACTAATTTCATGCAGGTCGCGGCAGAAGACCCGGACAGCGATGAAAATGCGATAATATCGTATTACATAGTGGGCAAAGTGAAAATGACCTTGACGGAAGGTCTGGACCACCTGTCTAGACCGCCGTTTATCGTGGAGAGAGACACGGGCGCGGTCAGGCTCAACTTCGACCCTCAACAAGGTATGAAGGGCTATTTCGACTTCGCGGTGCTGGCCAACGACACGGCCGGGTTGCACGACACCGCCAGGGTTTTCATTTACCTGTTGCGAGAAGATCAGCGGGTCCGGTTCGTACTGAGACAGACGGCGCTTGAACTCAGGAACAACATCGACGTGTTTAGAGAGTAAGCCTTAACAATACGAGTAATTCAACTACTTGCGAATCTTCAAGATGAAGAGTGCAGAATAACCTAAAAAAACTATTTATCTGTTAATGGCACATAATACGTACCTTAAAACGGGTTGAGGTTGACCAATTTTAACTTTATTTTTTGTCGTAATTTAAACAATTTCCTATATTAATGCTTTGCACTCGTATATATGGATTTTTTATATTGAATTTGTTTTAATTAAAAAAAACACTTTATATAAACTATGGGATGAGAAAATGGGATTTTTTAAAAATATTTTATTATTATCATAATCACTACCATTATTATTAAATAAATTCATACAGAATATAAAAAGAAATACATCCTATAATGTTTATGGTACGGTTCCAAGCAGTCACCGATGTGTACGGATGCAAGTGTCACAAATATACCTAGTTTCCCGCCTGCTGCCTTGTACTTTACGGCCTTTTTTCTTTCTTTAGATGTGTCATTTGTTTTTTGTTTTGGTCCCGTTGTGAAATTTGATGTAATAAATATTTTTATATAAAAATGACTTTCGCCACCATTTTAAAGACTTTCTTAGGAAACAGTATGACGCTGAATAAGGGTCTGTGCGGTCGACACTTCCCATAAATTTATTACAACTTGTAAGTTACATCCACGTACTCTTCTGTTGGTAGGTTGTGTTTCTGAAATATGCCAATAACAATTTTATCCTTAAATTCAACTATAGATTCTTCTACCGATATCTCTCTTGGTGGAACAAAATGTTCTTTGCTTGTCCAAATAATCTAAAAGTGGAGCATCCAAAAAATTTGCAAAAATCGTTCTCTAAATATGTAAAAAAGGTTTTTTGGCGTTAGAATGTTGTGAGCAAAACTCTTGGAAATTATATTTAGGACAACCCCAATAAATACGGTAAACTCTTCTACTGTAGATCTATCCACGTTTTGATAACTTCTTCTGTGCTATTTTATGTCTAGCGTAGTTATTTGTTTGTTCCACTATTTTTATTACTAGCTCATCGGTAAAAAAAACTTGAAAAAATCTATGGGTATGGTACAAGTATCACGAATTTGTGGTCCTTTATCCCCAGAAGTCAATAGAATCCTGTCTGGTATCTGATCGTGGCATGCGACGTCCTGCCATTGACCAAAATTACCTGATTGTGTTATATTCTCGTTTTCTTCACTGCTGCTAGAACTTGGTGGTAAAGGTACGGTTGTCCGTATTTTTATAACTATAATATCACTACCACTACTAGAGTCACTAATATTATCACTATCCAATCTATCATTTTCAGGCGCGTCAATATAAAATTCATCGTCTTTGCAATTCATTTTCAATTTCATCTTGTAAAAATTTCTTGGGCATTTGAATTTTTCGAAAAATACACCGAACTTTATCCAATCGTGTTAGTTATAAAACCGAGTAATATTCAAAATGCAAAAATGGTGCACATATGAACTAAAGTAAAATAAACAGCTTACGATGGCATTTATAAAATAAATATCATGCTATCTTTTATTTTTACGTAAACATGTCCTCAACGAAGGTTCAAGAAAGCAATTTAGAAATCTTAGAATTGAGCTTAGGGGATGCCAGACCTGCCAACCTTTTGTAATGATAAGATATAGTGTGCTGCCTATACGGCGACATACAAGTGCAAAGGGTTATCTCTAACCATTTTACTTGTTACTTTATGGAGGAAAGAAAGAAACGTCAGCACTATTTTTAAAATATGTATTAAGGGAATTGACTTACCCCATGAAAAAACAGTGACTAATCTTAGACCATGAATTAACTAGTAGTGCTGCGATCACTCTCAACCTGGAAAAATGCGTTCATTGTTTTCGTTTTTACAAAGAGCTGAGGTTGATCGTGCAGGGTTAGATTGATCACACTGTTCTTAATAAGTATATCGTCTATTATCTAAAAATTAAAAAAAGACAGTTTTATCATTCTTTTATGTTAATTTCTCTGAGGAAATGGTATGGTTAAATCTAGTAAAAAAAAAGTAAGTCGTTTTCAATTATATCAAACACTTTTCTCGATACTACAGATTTCAGGCCTGGAACTTCGACTTCTTCTCCTTCTAATACTTCATTAACGATTTACATATGGCGAAGTTTTACTTTTTCCGAAAACCATACAAAAATCTCACTAGCAGAAATTTTCCCTTGTTGATGTTTTCTAACGTAGGAGAAAAGTATTCAACTTTCTCTTGGTCTTTGCTAAGCGTCATTGTCGCTGTCCTCTAATTCAACATTTTCATCATCTCTCGTATTTTCCAATGGTTTGACTGAAACACTTCGTCCTGGTTCCTCAGTTTTCTTTTACATATAGATTTGCCTGAAAACTCGATTACGGTTGAATGGTACAAATCGGAAAGTAAATTCTTTTTGATATCACTTTTCTCTCCGTCTGATTTTTGAAAGGAACCTTCAGCCTTGATCTCAAGTGTTTGCTTTAACAGCTTAGGGGATTCGTTTTTTTGAATTCCAGAAGATTTGGAATTTTGCATTTTCCAGGATGTTATAGTTTTCCTCCAGTTATCGAAGTAACAGATTTGAAACGGTTGCATACTTTGTCAGGGTATTTGGTCCCTTACAGTAGATGCATAATTTTTTACCAAGATCGTCCGAGACATTGAACGTGTCATAATTAAATATATTTTCGACGGGAACATCTTCAATAGTTTCTTCGAAATTGTCGAAGTATTTTTTAATCAAATCAGAGGAGACGGTTTTTTTACCAACAACACTCCGATGTCTCTTTAAGGAACTTATCGAGTCAGGCCCAGACACTTTTACCAGTTTTGTCTAAAACACTTTTGACGGACATTCTCAAATCCATGACGCTGGGTGGATATCCCCAATCTGCCCACTTTAGAACACTGTTGATAATGGCAATTTCTTTTTGATATGTGAACAATGATTGCCCTCCCATGATACTTGTTATTTAACATTCGTTTAACGCCTGGTTGACTAATTTTACTTTGTTAGTTCCTCCCATTTTGATTGGTATTTATAGATCTGCGAAAAATGTTCTGAATAAAATTTCAATACGTACATAACGCCGGGTTAGATTGATGAGCAGATCAATGCCACCCCATTCAATATTATTAGTCCTCTTTAAAAAACTGCCCTTAATAAAACCTCCGCATGGGAAAATAAGTTTTTTCTTTACCATCAAAAGTACTGCAACTTTGAAAACCGACAAAATATTATGGTCAAATTTAAAGGAATACATCTTACTTCCAGTGCTGATTGCAAAGTAACCACAACGTTAACTAATCTAAGGCATGCTCAAGGATATGTGACTGAGACGTGCAGCATCAAGCTTACATTGTTGCCAGTTATACCTGCATATATGTGATGCAGTGACAAACGAACAATGTCACCCAGTCAGATCACTCTCAATCGACTTTGCCGTACACACAATTAAATTTAATAATCTAGCATTAGTTGTAAACTCAGCCAGTTTAATCTTCCGCTACAGGTGTCCAGTCTTCGCATCATTAGCTATAATTTCTTACTTTTGAACTGGTGCTACAAGACCCACCTCTTCGATTGAACACAAAATCTAACACAACACATCTGGTATAACGCAAACAGCAATCATAAATCGTAGTCTTCGACCTCAGAAGTGTTGATGATTTGTATTCGCTAGTGTTCTGGGTAATGTGACCGGAGCAATCGTAAACGTCGACGAATTCCGAGTACACACGAATCACGACGGTACCATTGACAAAACCAGGACCGATCTCTACTTGCACTTGGTCAACAGGAAAGACAATTCGATCCTGGAAGTCGCCGAGGTTTTGAGACTCGTCGACCAAAACACGGAAAAATTGGACTCCCTCTTCAAGGTATACGTGAAAGAGTCACGTTACAACATTTTAATGACCAATTTGCAGGATTTTAACGTGTTGGATACCCAACCTGGTGGCATCATGGCGTTGCAGTCGAATTTGCAAAGCGGCGAGACCACCTTCTGGCTATCGGCAGCTTCTTTATGTCTTCTTCTCCTGTTAATCTTGTGCCTCGCACTTTGCGTGAACCAACGACAAACGTACCACAGAAAATTGAAAGCCGCGACAGCTACAGCGTACGGTAAGTAGATACGAATAAAATTCTGGGCTCTGGTCTGTAGGGTAGCTTTGTCTAGTGCGAGCAGAGTCGGATATAGATGGCAGAGGTCTAAGCATTTTGAGCGGAAGAGTGCCCAATACCAACAAGCATAGCATGGAAGGTAGCAACCCGATGTGGCTGAAAGCATACGAGACTGAATGGTATAAAAGTCCAGATGACTTGAGGTAAGATGGCGGAGGGAATTCGACACGAAACAGGATTTTTTTTTTATTTCGTTGCAGTCAAACTTCTGATCACGACTCGTTGGATGAGAACGTGATATGCGGCGAACTGACGGACACTTGCGACAATGACGAGCAGACGGAAGAGGAAAAACGGCAAAATTTGTATCAGACGCTTCCCGTGCCGATGCCCAGAAAGCTAGAAACGACCGAACTGTAGAGGAATTTAGCGCGTTTCTAGCAAAAGCCAAAAATCGGTGTGCAATAATAGAATACTAACAACACTTTCCACGAGAGCGTGCGTGCCAAAAAAAGAACGCGACCTATGAAGTTGGCGCCTTACGATCAACCATACAACGAAATATCTTGCGATAAGTTAATGACAATACGAAAACGCCACTGCCCGTTGAATAATCTTAACTTTTAAACAATGCCTAGCCATTAGATATTTATACATATATATTTTAACGAAACAATTGAGCAGCCGGGATATAAAGAAAATTTGTAACGAAGTTGTTTGTTTCATTTTACCAAAAATAACAAAATATACGGCGCAGTATTGGACTGAGGTGGATTTTACTTGATGAAAATCCATTTAACACAATTCAATTAGAACAAAAAAATATTCAGATTTTCACAGCATTTAATGATATATATATATATATATATATATATATATATATATATATATATATATATAGTATATATATATATATATATATATATATATATATATATATATATATATATATATATATATATATATATATATATATATATATATATATATATATATATATATATATATATATATATATATATATATACATATATATATACATATATATATATATATATATATATATATATATATATATATATATATATATATATATATATATATATATACATATATATATACATATATATATATATATATATATATATATATATATATATATATATATATATATATATATATATATATATATATGTATATATATATATATATGTATATATATATGTATATATATATATATATATATATATATATATATATATATATATATATATATATATATATATATATATATATATATATATATATATATATATATATATATATATATATATATATATATATATATATATATGTGTGATGACACTATATTCACACAAACACTTCGAACACTCGGAGCGCGAGCATTGAAGATGCCAAGTGAGATTTTGGCGAAACGTCTGCAGGATTCCAGTCGGATGCAAGATTTGCAGGATTCCAGTCGGATGCAGGATTCCAGTCGGAGTTCAACGAGCGAACGGATGATATCCCGGAATATAGTGTCATCACATTTTTCCATCCGTGAATCAATACGTGAGAATATATATATATATATATATATATATATATATATATATATATATATATATATATATATATATATATATATATATATATATATATAACTTCCTTAGTCTCATTAGAATAGTGCTTTCTACATTTGAGCGGGAGCATAATTCGCACACTATTCATCACACGCTGTATTACACACGAAATAAGAATGACTACTAACAAACCTAAACTAAGTAGTTTATCAAACCAAAGAATATTAAACACAGGTAGGTATAAAATTATTTTCTATTACGGACCACAATTTTACCTGAATTTAAATTCCGAAAGTTTAGGTAATAATCTTGTTGCATTGTATGTTAATGACCACCCTTGGATAATCCCATTCAAAGGCAATTGGTCACTTTCTTATATTTATGAACAGACTTTAGTAATAGAATTGCCGGTGTAAGGTTATAGATTTAAATTTAACAACGGAGACGCCCTTAAGTCAAACTGGTCATTAAGTAATAGATTCGAATATCTCATTTTGCTAATCTCCATAGCTTCCAACCAATTAGTTTTTTGCTTTTCGATTGATTATGTGCATTTCTGAATTTAAATGAATGGTTTTAACATGTTTCACATGTTAAACTAAATCAATTATAAGGCTTCCCAAAATAATATACAATTTACAAGAGCAGGTAAAGGAAAGACAGTCCTTGATATCGATTCTCTAGAATGTATTACAAAAACCAAACAGTTTCTGAACCAGACATATACTGAAGTATACAATATGATCCCACCGAGTTATGTCAAAAATCTACCTATAATTACCGATTCATCACAGTTTAATGACAGGGAAAAATACGAACTAATAATCATGAATCCTCCCTCCAAAATTATAGTCTCTAATTAAATTACACAAACAGGATCAGGATATGCCAATAAGGCCTATAGTTTCTTTTGTAACAGACCCATCAGTTAAATTCTTAACAAGATTAATAAAAATAATACAATTCATTCGAACTAATTAACAAGGTTAAAGACATTAACATTCCTCCTAAGGCAATTCTAGTTTCATTTGACGTCCAAAACCTATTTCCTAGCATTCCATCAATTGAAGTAATAACCATAATAGACAATATTCTCACTCAGAGCAAAGTCAACCCCATCATAAAACAAGATCTGCTAGATAGTTTAATAGTCTGTTTAGACCAAAATTATTTTGAATTTAATTAATTTTTAATTGTTATTTAATGGTCAATTTTATATTGCGAAGAAGGATTAATTATGGGAAAAATATCATACATAAACATCTTCTAAGTAAAGGATTTCTCTGGTAGAATAGATACGTAGACGATGTTGCTTGTTTCACTGAAAAATCTCTATAAATCTCAACATTTTTTGTTCTAATTTAATTGGGATAGCGCAGTACCTAATTATTTATTATTTATTTTTTTATCTACAAGATGGCGGAGTTAAAATCTTGATTATGATTATGAATTATGAATGACTATTAAATCATTAAAGCTAGTCCCTAGTTGCTACAAATTACCCGAAGTATTGCTAAATGAAAATAAGAATTTATGTCCAAATTGTAACCTGTTATTATGGAATTTTAACGCTCCACACCAAATTGCACAAGAATTATGTTTTCTTAACCATATTATTGGCCTTGCAGTTAACCTTTACTACACACACAGGACGTTGTTATAAATATAAGTTCTGAAATTCCATCATTGTGAATATAACCAACGAATTTTAAGTGATGGTTATTGGACTTCGATCCATTTTAACCAAGCAATATACACGTATATATGTGCAATATGATCTAAATTCGCTAAGCTCTTAAGACTGCTTCGACTGAAATCAATAAGGAATTTTTGGACGACGAAAATAACACATTCTTTTAATAATTTATACACCAAATCTCGCTGGCTACACCGGGGCGTATGATTTTCACAAATATGACATAACAACCGAGTTTAGAATCCCACATCACCATTGCGTGCACAGATACATGCGAGCGGCGTGTTTTGAGACCGGTAGGAGAAGGTTAATGGTCCGGTCCGATACATCTTAAACATGGCTTTGTAACTTCGCCGAGTTTGTTAACGAACACTTGTCTTGAACGTTAACTGTGAAGCTAAATGATATTGAAGCTAGTTCCTGCGTAATTTTGAAGCGTTATTCTGTAATATTTGCGTTTCTCGTGGCACAAAATAACGTTTCCGAAATATTTTTTCGTAAACTCGCTGGACTACGGCATTTATTTTACGGTGGATGTGCCGCTCGATAAGAATGGACGCGAACACGGACGTTTATCGCGGTATTTTTGATCATTCAAATATCGTTCCTTACCAAGCAGACGCCAAGTTTTCGAAGTTATAAGTAAGTAAGCGAATTTCCGTTGTGTTTATCCTGATTAGTTTTGCGTTTTTCTGTGAATAGCGCGATGGCCGAAGCTAAAGCAGATACAGTTCCCGGGTTGGGTTTTAAGGACAAGGAGAAGGCACAGGAGACGATCAAAATACTGGAAGGTCGCGACCCCGATTATCAACGGCTTGCCGTTAAAGGGCTGGTCGGTAGGGCAAAACGCACCCTTACACGTAAGTAATTATACTCAACATTGGCGAGTTAAAAATAAACTTGAAATTTGTATAGCTGAAATTTTTGTTTATCAACGCAGTGGCGCGCGTAACTGAACCGAAGAAAATAACTTTTTTTTTAATTTTTTATAAGTTTTATTTATATAAAATCAATGTTTCTTTTATTGCAACAATTTTCGTACCTGTAAATTATCGGAAATACCGGCAAAATCTGCCTGCATTTTGATATTCATAGCACTACATCACACCTATGAATAGAAAATCCGATTATTATTTGCATATACACATTTGGAGTCTATAATTTAAATTATACTGTGCAAACAAATTCGGATGAGAGTCACAAAAGTATAAATATGACCTAATCCTTTAAAAGTGATTATTTAATTTTGTTATTACATGGACTTGCCGGCTTTTCCAAAAATTTCAAAAGGGAAAACCGTTGTTCCGCGCCATCTCTGGGTCAAGTGCTGAACTTTTTTGATCTTAGTTTTGTTTCAGTTACAAAAGACAAGGAAAAACTGCAAAATATAAATGACGCCTTGTCGCTTTTCGAAGATTGGCTCAAGGACTTCGAATTCAAGAATTTATCGAAGGAAAACCGCGCATACTTACCGCTGCAGTGCATAGAGTCCTTGTTGCCGTTAAAGGAAAAGTACAAAATCAAAAATGAAGATGCGGAGTCTTTCATTAAAGCTTACAAAGAGAAAGCCAGAGGAGATTATAAAAACTTGCGAACGGTGGCTAGTGGCGAAGATAAACCGACATGGGATATTGTTCGGAATCAAAACTTGAAGAAATTACTGAAAGAAATGGAGGAAAGTAAGCCGGACTTGTGGAAGGACGATCTGCCTACAAAAGATCACCTTGAACTCATTTTATGGGCTTACAGTCCAGATGCCAGCAAGATAAAGAAAAATGTGTCTGTATATCAAGAAAAATTAGGATCTGGAAAGGCTGAAGACGATGATGAAGAAAAAATGGAAGTAGAAAAGAAGAATGATGGTGAAAAGAAAAATAATAAAAGAAAATCAGGGGGATCAAGCAGCAGCAGCAGCAGCAGTAGTAGTGGAGACGACGATGACTCTCCAAAAAAGAAAAACAAGAAGGAATGAAGTGCTTCGTCGTTATAACTATATACTACCTTAGCAGATTGTAGCAATTTTTTTATTACCTAAAAGATACAGTTATCTAATGGATTTTTGTTTAGAATGTTTATAATACTAAATTTATATCAATAATTTGGTTGTGTTAAAATTGCGTTCAAATTTATTTTTACGTAAATAAAAATTTTTGAAACGACTTCTAATGATTTGTGCAGTTTTTTCCGTGGCAACCTTACAGGTGCTCTAGATTTTGTTGCTTTTTCTATTATTCCAAGTCAATTTAAAATATTGCACGTCAACAGTTTTGGTTAATGGTTAGCTTTTACTTTTAATGGCCACGACTGCAATAGGTCACTGGGCCAGCTTACGATGAGTGTAACATATACAAATATCCTGAAGAATGCCTTCCTTAAAGAAGGGTCTGGACCAATCCACTTTCCTCCACGTTAATTAACATTTACAAAAACGGGAACAACTTCTAAATAAATTGTCATAAAATGACGACCTTTTCTTCAAACAGCATCAGCGCGCATGGGATATCCGTTCCCATCCGGCCTGGTTACCAGCGTGGGTACAAGACATCCGGAAACCGTGCTAACATAACACATCACAAATCCGTGTACAACCGCGTAAAACGAACACTATTTCTGGAAATTATAGGCACTGCGCCTCTATCACTTCAGATAACAAATGTACAAAACAAAATTTTCTTTAAACGACACTAATTTCAACTGATTTCTATAATTTTTTTGAAACCGGGCAGAAGCAACGTCCGCCATGTGCAAAGGTTCCATCGAAAGTCCTGGTTAATGGTTAATGTAAATGAGACCCAAGATACATCCTGATGTACCATTTGACTTCTTTCTATGCTTTTGGCGAATGACCAAAGCAATCTTGCCCAGCTGTGAACGAATAGTATTATCCTTCTCTTTCTATGCTTAGTGTCATAACTGTCAATTTTTTTACCAGTGGAGTGGCCAATTTGTTTACAATACAAATGTTTATAGATGTATTCAACTAGATAAGCAACGTTCACTATGAAAATTTATCTAAAATTCAACAACAGGGAACCAATTTGATATTTGTAACCTATAAAACGGAGATCGCTTTAGGACAAAATGGTTTGGAAGACGTCTTGGACCAATTTTTCTTAAATTTGATAGAATGGCGGATACAGATTGTGCAAGTGAATCTGCAAGTTCTATAGGTGACGAAGAACGGGTAAGGCGGCTATTTCAAGCTTGCGACGCCAATGGCGATGGTTACATCGATAGGTATTTTAAATTATTGACAATTTATATTAAAAAAATGCAGCATATTTTTACAGCCAAGATTTGTCGGCTATATGCCGCGAATTGTCTTTAGAAGATTCACTGGATGAACTTATGTTGCAACTTGGTGCTGACTCTCAGGGTAGAATATCTTATGACCAATTTTTAAACCGCCGATTAGCATTACGTCCAGAAATTGATGCTTTAAAGGTGTCTTGCAAAGACAACAGCAGTGAAAACAGTCAAGGTTTGTATGGCAATTAATCAATATTCTAATTGAATACCTATAGAGTATGTATGTAATTGGTATAGGCAAATTGGATAGTTGGGAATGGGATTCTGGTGCAAGAGATATGAGTCCGGTTCCTAAGAACATTTCCAAGAAATTAGCAAGTGAGAACTATATGGATGAAGAAATATTTAAGGTAAGAAATGCACTATTATTTAACCATATTATAATTTAATAATTTATATCATAATCTAACATTTTCCGAGAAGTAATCCACCATATATTCAAAAATCCAATATCTAAAATCCTGCTTAACACGCCCACGTACGGCACTTGTAAGTATGGACAGTTGTTTTCATATAAATCACAGCCTTCACTATATTTATCAACCCATATAACGGAAAAAATTCCACAGTTTATATAACGTATTAAACCCGCATTGAAACATTGTTCCATGTATTTTAAGTGTTCTGCTGCTTTTTTGTTTACAAGAGTTTGGGGAACAAGATTTAAATTGTTGGCGCATTCAATATATTTTGCTCGGAAACTTTGTAAATTGGGGTTATGTGTTGCACAGTAACCTAACAATCCGGCTGCACTGAAATAAGCTGCCGATTTTAGCGGTTTAGTTTTGATATCCTGACCCACGGATATGGCCACTTCTTTGTAATCCCTGGCAAGGGTCTTCCAGTATTTGATCCACTTTTCCACTATTGTACCTTTGACTTTTCTTTGAAATGTTTGATTTGTCACTTTCAGATAATCTAAAGTGTTATTTCTTGCGTTCCAGTACTTAATTTTATTCATTTCAAGCCCGCGTTTCAGGTTGATTTTCAAACAACAAAAAATTGTACTTGTGGGTAAGTTTGGTTAGCTTTTTCACCACAGTAAATAAATTGGTCGTGCCTCCGTTTTGACATCGATTTCGATTAAGCAGGGCCGCATTTGGTCCTCTTGTATCTGCGATGACTGGCATGGGTCGTAATTGATCCCTCTAATTTTTTTTATTGATAATTAATTTTCCGCATGTTTGTACAATGTTACTTATAACCCGGGTTTTCTAATAATCCCTACTAGTTAAATGGAAACGGCTAAAATCTCGCAAGGGAAACGCGATACAGGTAGAAGTGATGTGATATGTTATAATTGGATAAGAATGTTATTGGTAGAAATGTCTCCGTGTAAGGATTCGGATCTGTTTACGGTACGTACACTGCTTAACCTTGTCTTGAACTTATAATAATAATAAACGGATTTCGGAGCGACAAGAATCCATTAATCTTAAGTTCGGTTTATTTAAACTGCAAGTAATTGCCGAGGGTGCAAACGACAGCCTGGATTCCTGGCCCATACTAATTCGCTTATTTTTCTTCTGTCGGAATGAACTTTTGCTTTGGTAAATATAAATATAAAACGTTTTCATGCTATTATTACGCCACGGGATCTATAAATAATGCCGTGGAGTCGCCAAAATGAAAAAAGTTTCATGACGAATGTTCTCGATTTTTCATTTCTTTCTTGTTGGAGAAATTACCGACCGCCGAATATGTCTACGTATTGTACTTTAATTTTCCATTTTTATAAATCGGATCCTAGCTTAAGTAGACGTTACGTGTTTTATGTTGATGTAAACTTAACAAAAGTGTATATTTAATCGGGCGTGCAGAAAGAAAAAAGTGTAGTCTGTGACGTTATTTACGTCCCTCTAGAAATTGCTTCCCGAACGAGACGAGCGTTCTGCAATTCAAATGTTTTAAACGCCTCCATTCGAAATGAGCCCGTAATTTCACTTTGTTTAAGTCGGCTCCTCATTTACTTTGATATTCACGTTCATTTACCTGCTATTCGCCGTCCTCTCGGGCTATTGTGATGTGTAATGTGTCACCGTCATTATGCACCTTCAGAAATTATCTTAGAAATCGCAGTTATTCACACAGAATATTCGAGAGGCGAATAGACACTAAAGACCAACTTCAAACCGTTATAGTTAAAATAGTGGATTTAATTATGTATACAACAAAAGCAAAAATTATTCTAATGATCAACAATTACATTTCGCTTGAATACGTTTTGCAGTTTTAATTAATTGTTATAGTTTTAACACTTATGAGGTGACTAGATTGAAAAAAAAATCCAAGTATATTATTAAAAAATTTTAACAGATAGATGCGCGATATCTTTTAACATTTAGTTTGATTTTTGTTAAGCAGAAATTTGAGTTGTCGTTTTTCTATTCCGGTTTTAGGTAAAACAATTATAAAAAATCATTTTTAACGTAAATTTTTTGTAAAATGCATGAGCATTTTCAGCGAACGTTTTTAAACTTAAATTTTAATAATGTCGAAAAAAACATATTCCATAATCTCTGTGACTTGCAAAATGCTAAAAAGCACAACTATGCTGTTTCATAATACGAGAGAGTTATGAAATGTAAATTTGCAATGACATGAATCATTACATAGGGTGGACAACTGAAAATCTATATCGTAAATTTCAGATAAATTGCAATTATATCCATTTTTAAGACCTACATACCCCTGACCGTTCCTAAATTAGGGTCACACTAATTTGCATATAATAGAAAGACGAGTTTTGGTGAATGAAAGCAATGTGACAGCAGCGTGAGATATTAATGATTCTAAGATCAATTAAATAAAAACTTCTATAAAAGTAAGAAAAATAGGAAAATATTGTAATAAATTTTATTATTAAAAAAAAAATCTACTATTTACAATACAGAGTATTCAGATGTCGTTTGAGTTCAGAGAAATCCTTCATCTATTCGTCCTTCTAATTCAATTACATGTTCGCCGCACTTCAAAAGGGTTTCAATTTCCCTCAGTGCCGTTATGTCTTGCTACAAGCACTTGCGCGCATACCATTTCTATAGGGCGTAATTCACAGTGCTATGGCGGAAAACAAAGTTTTAGTTAGTTGACAACAAATTTCGTGCAAAGAGGTTTATTCAAATTTACAATCAGCACATATCTCTAAAATTGCTTTTTATTTAAAGTAAGCCAATGAATGATGTCATTTTTGTTCCAAGAAGACCTGTTTTTCATTATCCATGACTATAACAAAAACATCAACATTCATGTCTTCTTTGTAGTCCACGTGAAAACTTATTAATTTTTTATCTCTTCGCTAGAGTGTTTTTATTCCAGTGGACCATAATTCCATGAAAGTTTGCCTCACGTTTTATTTAATTTAATTTAATAGAACTTTAACGATCTTATTACCTATTGTTATTGGGTAAAGTCATTAACAAAAAAATTATTCTTACTTAAGTGACAAGGCAGGGGGTTCTTTCTGATATATGTCTTGAGTTTTGAACATTTGTGGCAGTGTTGGATAATCGTTTTTACTGTGCGTTTCGAAAAAGTTTTTTTACGAGAATATAAAAATGCAAAACAGATTGTGAGAGTTGTGTACGAAAATTTAATCATTGAGGGACTTATTAAATAAGAAACAAACGCCAATATCGTCGATAAGGGATATTATTAATAGAGGAGAATTGAAGAAAAGGCTTAAACGCAGTGATTTTTAAACTCGCCGTGTAGACAATAGTGACTAGGACCTTATAAGATGGAAATAAATTTTGTTTATCAAAGCGAAGTTGTTCCTACCTTGGATAAACTCAAAAAGAAGCTAGTGTCTCCCAGAGTTGTTTGTAAATGTAATGGAGACACTTGGAGATTTAAATACCTTCAAGAAATGAAAAGATATAGGTTAATCAGATCAATAATTTACCTTGATGAAACATGGTTCGATACATACGGCACTATATGCAAAGGATGGGTTGATTCCACTTAAAACTGTCAGACGAACCCACCTTCAAATAAAGGAAAACGCATCGGATTAGTCTCAAACCGCTTGCTGTTGTCTGTAAAGAATGTTAAGGATTCCAGCTTTGATTATGCGATAATTTAGCTGAGCAGGCTTGGCATACTGTTTTACGCATATAGCTATAAGATAATACTACGGTAAAAAGTGATGCGCCGCAGGTGGCTATGACATTTTCGTAGAGAAGGTGTGGATCTTTTGCGCATGCGTCACTCCCAACTAACCTAATTGTCACATTGCCGTAATTTAATTAAGAATGGACTAATTTTTATAAGAACGCAAAATCAGTCTCTGAAATCCGCATATAATTGGCAACGCCGAGCTAGGAATTGATATGGCCAGAGAATACTAAGTCTGCGACATTGTGGTTTATATTTTTGGTGGGTATGATCTCTCTTTTTGGTTATTTAGATTTGAATCCAAATTGCAATAAAATATAGCTAAATTATTGTGTAAATTGATACAAATATCTAAAGCCCGGTAGACACGATGCAATTTCTACATGTATTTTTAGCATTTAACAATTGCTGTTAAATGTTTTAACGGGGAATTTTTTGCGGTAGCCGCCATGCAGTTTTTACTAGCAAAATGTTTTTTAAATTTTGAGACAATAAACTACACTTTTTAGGATTTGGTAATGTTAATTCTGTTACATTTAGGGCTAATTGTTTATTTACTTGTTTTATGCTAGTTTTTAATTTTCTTCGCTCCATTTTCTAATACCTACAGTTTTTTAATGAAATTGTCAATTGGTACTTTTCATTATTATATATTTTGGAGGCGAAGCTTTCTAAAAAGAGTGGGCGTTCTGTCTATGTGAGGTGCTGGTGTCGATTTACGGGCACCAATTCGGGAAAAAATAGCTGGTATCGTGTCTATCGGGCTTAAAGAATCAAAACACCAAACTACTTACAGAATTATATTATAGACGCCGATCCATATGCTGTAACTCAGCATAACATTAACCATGCACTTGTCGCCAATTTTTTTAACAACGCTTTTCACACCTTAATTCCTTTTTTGCCTGATTTCGGCATATTTTGAGAAAATACTGCCGTAAAAATGCAGCATCCAAACATTGACGACCAGCCAGCGACCATGTTGGTTGTTAAAAGCCGCAAGGCCTTATGGGTCGAACGTTAGAATTTGTAATTAGGGCTACCATTGGTTAAAAACGAAATTTCAAATCTCGCCCATTTGTAGAACTAGGTAAAATCAAAGGTTAGAACAGAAAATGTTACTCCTAGTTTAAGTCCCAGTATTAATAAAAATTTGATAAAAAAGAGAGTTGGAAAAATTCAGTACAGCACATTATAAATCTTGAGCACTCTTACATTTCTATACAAAACAACATATATAATATTATAATTAATTCCATTGACGACTCTGATAGTGAAACAGAAATAGATTTAGACATTTGGAATAAAAATGTAACTATGTGTAGATATTCTTAGCTATGGGTTTATTGTATTGTATATTTAATGTCGTCGCTTTTTCTTAGTGAGTCCCTTTAATACCTACCGGACCCGAATTTTTGGTACCGTCGGCAGGTAACTTCGATAATTGCGGCCAAAAGCCAGCACCATGAAGATTGAGATTTTATAGTTTTACAGTTCGATAATGATTTACCTGTCTCAAGTCAGTGTGTACCGCATTTCAACCCCTAAAGTGGGCCGCTGTAATCAACTGGCCTTTAAATAGAAACGCCCTAAATAAAATAAAGGTCTCTTTGGGTCACCAACCCGTTTATTACGTTTGGATCGTGAAATAGAGGTCTCGGAAGAGTCGTGGTTGACGGAATTATTTTGTAGCGGAGAATGTAGTGCGGTTGCTTTATTTTGTCCGGCCCTTTTAAGATGGTGGAGAAGAAATCGGAGAGCTTTATGTAAATCAAACTAGACGGGGCGAAAGAGCGTCAGACGTTCGCATGGACGGCTCGTTACTTAAATATTTGCCGTGTGTCTTTTTTTTTGATAATCTGAGTACGCCACTAAGACTTGACATGTTATGCATAATTATAATTATTTAATTAACTGGGCTAACGTGTAGGTACTACAATAGATGAGCTAGAAGGTCAGCTGTAACGAAAAACCTAAAACTTTTCTATTGGCAGTAACATTTTTTTCAAAGATGCAAAAACAAAAGAACGCAAAAGAAATGAAAATGTAAACAAAAGTATAAATGTCATTTTACACTGCAAATTTATACTAATTATTATATCTATAGTGTGTTTGAATCAAGAAGAACAATTCAGGTAAACCAATTACTTAAACCTTTCAACCTTTGGACTACCAGGGAGTTTAGGTTTAAGAAAAAAATCACTTTTATAACTTTAAGAACCTCTAAAATATGTTTATGAAATTTTTAAATTAAAAAAATGTAAAAAATGGCTTTTGAAGTTATAAAAACCGCTTTATTTAAACCGGAACACCCTATAGCTCAAAAGGTAAGTTTATTTGAATTTTTCTTCTTTAAATTACCTAACGATTACTACCCTTGAGTATTGAAATTTACTTTTGAAACACCCTGTGTATTGGATTATAAATTACGCTTGATTCCACCACACAGCGACATCGATCATAAAGGCTTTTACCCAATCAGAACAAGACAAAGCTAAACGAAAGAAAAGACGTTGCACGCTCCTGGAACAATTCGTTCCTGGTCTTTCCTCCGGCTAACGCTTTGGCGTAAATCTTTCATTAAACGTTCTTTTCTGTCGCCCCGTTAAAAGATGGCGTTTTTATCCCCAAGGTGAGGCCATTTTTTTCCTGCAAGTCATTGAAAATGGTCATTTGAGTGTCTATACTACCATTTGGGGCGAATTTGTAAGTACAGGTGTGATCGAACAATAGGAGGGACGCATTTGTAATGTATTTTGAATAAGAGGCTACCGCAGAGGATTTTAACGGTGTGAATGGATTTCGTCATATGTCGTTCGGAAGATTAAGGAAAAACGAACGGAAAAATTGATCAAATAGGAAAAAAGAATATTTTATAAGATAATAATAATATTTAATTTGGCATGCATGCTTAAATGGTATATTTAAACTGCAAAAAAGGAACTGAAAACAGTTCATTTGAATCCAAGCGTGTTCTGTTCATAAACGCGCGAAATTATATTTACACTACGTTGGTAAAAGATAACCTATGGAATATTTTACAACACAACTTGCTAATCGTCATATTAATTTTGAAATGGGAGAAAAAAAATAAAATCACATACTACAGTGTGTTCTTTTATATAGGTATTCGACTTTTCGATTTTTTCGAAAAACTCTGCAGTGCAGAGGTGGAAAAAAACCATATATTCTGAATACTTTGTCAGGATATTATTAGCAAAAGTTTAAACTATTTGGACAACTTAAAACTATAATAAATTCTAGCTTTGAAGGCATTTTTCAAAGGAAAAAAAAATAGTGGAAAAAGAAATTCAGTATTTTGTCCCTAGTACATAAATAATAACTCTTAGGTTACTAATTTCAACCTAGTAAGCATATAGAGTAAATATAGATACAAAAACTAGAAAAGAATCATAAGCAAACAATGGATGAATGGATTTCATCTCTAGTTATTTCAGCTTTAATAACAACGAAAATGTTCTATTACTAAGCAATCCTATTATTATTTTGTAAAACCGCAGAGAGATAAAGAAAACATCTATGTCCTATTGTTTTAGATACCACAGTTTTGACGTTTGCTGTATTAATTCTGTTTCTGGTTGAGTAAAGATGTTCATAATTTCTAATAGGAATTTTATTTAAAAAGATTTGGGCTGCTCTTTTGAAAATATAGTTGTCTTGTATCGGGCATATCGGTTCATTAAAAATTTGTATTGTCTTATCCCTATCCCTTTTGTAAATATTTTTTAAAATGCAAATAATAATAAAATATTTGTTTGTCAGCCCACCCCATGCTAAAAAACAAGGTTTTCACTTAGTATAACTCTAAAATTTTTGTAAAAAATCTGAAAGATACTACTAAATTTGATTTCAAAGCTACTCGAGTTAACTTAAAATCTAAGAGTATCATATAATGGTATTTTATTGCTATAGTAACTGAAAGACATAAAAAACAGTTTTTGTGAAGTGTTTGCTAAACTTGTTGCTATTAGACCATTATATGTATTCTGTAAAATTACCTTGTATTTTTTTTTAAATGTTCCCAAGTATCAGTCTCATAGTAAAAACTTTCTTCGTCTGCAAATGCAATAGAGCTTCCCCCACCCATCATTCATTCATTTATTCATTAATATAAATAATAAAAAAATAATCATTCGTATATAAAGCTTAAATTCATAGAAGCGTAGAATTTATCACCATATAAGCAGGCAGCCGGTATATAAGGCGTCGCCAATCTTGGCAGGAGCAATCCAAAAGATTTTTAAATAGTGTCACCGAGAGTATTTTTTAGATTTACTTTCTTTTCTTTATTTTATATTTTGAAGATTTTGACTCTGAAGGGATAGCGGAAGACTCTTTTGCAATGGTATATACAACTTTTTAAGTAGATCTTGAGACATCCAAAGAAAAAACGTCAAAGTAAAATGACAGTCTTCAAACCAAAATCGAAGCTATATTTTTTGTTGTTATATCCGTGTCTTCCTATGGCTGTTTGATTTATTGATTTGAAAGGAAAACTATATGGGAAAATCTGTGAAATGTGAATTTAAAAAAAGTGTATATGTCGTTCGGAAGAGAAAAGACTTTTTTATTAACTTGGTTAGTTGGATTTTTATCGTATTTCTTTCGAAATAGAAAGGAAATAATTTGGTGACTGCCGACTCGTTTTGCTTTAGTATTCACGGCGAAATGGCGAAAACGCGACCTTTAAGTGTCGGTGTGGAAGCAACTATGTGACGTGGGACCATAAGACCTTGCGGCTTTCAACAAACAACATGGCGGCTGACAAATCGTCAATGTTTGGATACTGCATTGTTACTGCAAAATATGTCGAAATCACATAAAATTTTCATGCAAAAAAGGAGTTAAGGTGTGGAAAAGCAGTGCAGAATTGCAGTACTCACCTCGGCGTTTTTATTTTCGTTTGTTTTTTCATTTCGAATTTCCACATGTATTTTTTCATGTAAGCTATTTTTTTTCGAATTTTCGTGTTAATTTTCATAAACTCATAGGTTTAACTTCTTTTAAAAAATGTAAACAAAGTCGAAATCACGAAAGGTGGCTGTTAAAAGTCCAAATACTAATTTGAGATGCGAGATATCGCAAAAGAAACATCTAAGTGCAAAAAATGTTCAAGAAGCAGCTCCTATAGACAGAACGCTCATTCCTTCATAGCAAATCTAGTAAAGATATAATTATGACAAGTGCCAATGGGCATTTTGTTTAAAAAATTATAGGTATTGGAAAACATAACCAAGAACATTAAAGGCTAATATAAAACAAGTTATTTAGTATATTTTATTTATCACTTCGAAGAAGCATCCTGATCCTTACGAAACATATGCATGGTAAAAACATTTTTGTAAAAAGTTTGGCCATATTGTTTGTTGCGTCACAATTTAAAAAACGAAATTCGTAATAAGCAGGCATATTTTGCTCAAAAAAATTGCACTGTGTCCGCCATCAAAAAAGTGACAGTTAAAAATTGTTATAGTTTGGCACAGGGCACAGACCGTTCTGCGACAATTGTAATTACTTAACTCTGCGTTGCCAATTATGTTCATATTTCAAAGATTAATTTTGCTTTATAAAAATTAATCAATTTTCCGGAAAAATTACTGCAATGTCACAACTTGGTCAGTTGGGGGGTTTCGCATGCGCAAACGATCCATACTTTCTCTACGAAACAATCATAGCCACCTGCGGCGCAATTTTTACCGAAATAGGGCGCCACTATATTATCTTATAGTTATATGGTGTCGGAAAACTACCCCGACCTACATCGCGAAATGTTCCCTATAGAAAACCTGAAGCAACGCCGTCGCGGTAGGGTTTCTGAACGGCGGCAGCGGCTATCCGAAACGCGTTACGTAATAGAACTACGACGCCCATAGCGTAGTGCATCGCGACGTTCCGCGTCGCGACGATACCGTCTTTCGCCGTACCCCCACGCGCCGACAGCGTCCGGTCTGACGATCTGTCTGTTTCGGTGACTTCCCCGCCGTTTGTCATTTGTTTATGCGGTGCGTGTCAATACGCACATCGAAGGCAGCCGCGATTTCCGATCGGGTCCGAATCGCGACGGGGCGTCGAAAAATGTGGGTCGTCGATTAAATTGCGTCGTGACGCCGGCGACCGACCGTTTCGTTGATGCGGTTTTGTTTTGATCGGTGGTGCGCGTTTGGGTTGACCTTGTGACGGATTTTTGCGTTAAATTTTTGTGAGGTGACAGGGGAGTTCAGTGGGGAAGAGCGTTCTTTTAGGACAGTGTGTCCCACTTAAGAACTGTACACCCTTGTAAAATCTTTGTTTATGTTTCGATTTTGATATTTTTTTGTTGTTATATAGATCTCTCAAAAACGCAGTCAAACCTTATTATATCAACCTGAAGTCATGGCTAACTGGGACTAATTTTTGATGTCCAATATCGAGGACTACATAAAACCAAACTATACTTATTTTCGTGCATTTCGAATACAGGGTGCTCGAAATATCGCGGACGCCTCGCTTGGGTATAATGTTTGTTGTTTGTGGCTCAATTTTGATCATTCTTTTTTGTTGGATACATTTGACTGAAGGATACTAACGATTTTCTTAAAATTAAATGTGATTATAGAGGATTATATATGCTTTACAATGCTGTATTTTTTAATTAAAAAGGATTTTTAATTCTCCTCTAATAATAAAAATAACAGATATATCAAAATCAATTGACGATTTGTAAACCAAAGTTATATTTTAATTTTGTTTACGTCTTTTCGAAATTTGTATAATTAAAATTTGTAACATCTTAAAATCACACACAAAATAATCGTTATTTACAAGGTTTACAATATATATTTTTTAATATTAAAAACTTTGGTCATTGGTCTAGTTACTTTTAGGTAGTCCTGAACACGAATCTGTTGTCATCTTCAATTTTAAAAAATATCTAAAAGTACTTCTCGATTTTCCGCTTCGGAAAAAACTGTTCATATCTCTTTACTAAGACCTATCCAGCAAAAAAGAATTATCAAAATTGAGCCATAAACAAACATTCTACAGGAGTAATGCCTAAGCGAACATCATGAAAATTTGTATAATTTGTTTTTATGTAGTCCTCAATAAGAATTCGTTGACGCTTTAAAATTTTTGACAGAACAACAAAAAAATATCAAAATCAAACCGCAATCAAAGATTTTACAACGATGTATAGCCTTCAGCGGAGCGCAAACGATATTTCAAACACTAAGAATTCGTTAAAAAAATCCCTACTCTCTCTTCTCGCTCTTTTGTTAAATAGTGTCATTTGGTTATGACTTTAAGTTGAAGCCATAAGGAAAACAAGGTTTTAGTGCATTTTCAGAGACCTATACAACAAAAAATCAAATCGAACCACAAAGGTGTACAGTTCTTAAGTGGGACAGCTTCCTATTACGGGATTCTTTTAATCTCCATAAAAGTTTATTTGGTCGAAAAGATTGTTTGAATGCGCAGCGTGCCATGAAACTGACTACTATTATACAGGGTATCTCATAAATATCTCGTGGCACACAACTTCCTTATTTTAAGTGGGACTCCCCGTATTTATTTTTTTTAAATCTTAATTTTGATTAATGATTATTTCAAAAAAATTGCCGCATGTAAGGTGTTGAAACACAACACCCTGTATATTATAGGCCTTAGTCCTTTCCCTATACCTGCGGCCAGTATATCTTGTTAATTCACATTGTTAGCATTGATTTCGAAAAAAATTGTCATGCTTTTGCTTCTATTTATATCAAAGGAAACCCCTTTCACTATTTTTAACTGTTGATAAATGCTCATTCATTTGACAATTGCGTTATTTTAAAAGTTTAAAATTTGTAAATTATTTTATTATCAGATACAAAATTGTTTTGGATTACTTGAATATGTTCTTCCCCAAACCTATTTTCAAAAAAAATTTTATTATTACATATTTTCTATTTTAGTGTGATGTGATGAAGTGAATAATACAAAATGAAAGTAAACGAAAGTATTACAATAATTGCTTCTATAGACAGATGAATTGTTGAAACACAACAAACTCTAATGTTTTTCCTGTACTTTGTACAGGCCTAGAGTGCACAAATTATTTTATACAGCTACGGAGCGGAAAATTCAAGGGCTACAAATCGGGTTATCTGGATGGCGAGTTTCAGAGTTCATTAATGCCTTTGCAAACACAACCAAGAACATGTCTAACTTGGTCAAATTCAATACTGATCAGAAAGAACTTTTTCGGTTTGATTGACTTGAAAACACGAAAACATTGAAAATAGGCATAGGGAAATATATATGCAGTATGTATGCAATAAATCTATTTTCGTAATCAATTTCGAAAAAGATAATTTTTGAGTTTGACTTTGTGGTTCAATAATCCAAATAATTCAAAATTTTTACATTAATCAAGATATCTATTTTTGTTATTTATGCAGGAAGAATCCGAAAGTATTTCAAATAGTGTCGTCAAAAGTATTTTTTTAGATTTACTCTCTTAACATTTTTTTTCGGTTTATTTTTTATTTTGAAGATTTTGACTCTGAAGGGATAACGGAGGGCTATTTTTACAATGAATGTTTTTGATGGTCTGCGTTAAATATCCACTTATCGTCAATACAACTTCTTAAGCAATGCCTGAGACCTCCAAGGAAAAAACGTCAAAGTAAAATGACAGTGTTCAAAACAAAATGGAAGCTATGTGTTTGCTTTTATATTCGTTTGTTTCTGTGGCTACAAATGCTGGTTTATTGATGTAAAATTAAAACTAAATGACAAACCCGGTGTTTTTTTCATTAGTAATGTGAATTTTAAAAAATGATTTTCTGTATAATGTGTTGCCGATCTGAAATTTTCTCCACTCCATGTGAATTTAAATTTAACGTAAACACTTATAAATTTTCATCCTCAGTATAGATTACACATCACACAATAAAAAAATAATCCTTAATGGCTTACTGGCGATAATTGTAACTTACATTTTTGAATTTAACGTAACTGAAGCCGTTTAGGAAATAATTTATACATATATTCTCAATTAAGGTTCTTTCGCAAAAAACGTGGAAAAAACTAAAAAACCAAGAAAGTCGTCGGCTCCTGTGGATGTACCAAAAACCTGCTGAGGTGACCAATTAAAACGCTTATTCTTGACAGATCACCATGGCAACAGATGAATTTTAGCGGTCATTTTTTCCTCGTGTGAATTATGCTGGAAGTTTTTATACAAACATGCGTTGCTATGGAAATCTGTCAACAAAATCAATTTTGGATTTGTTGGTCGTGCGAAATTTTCTTACCTGATCCGGAAATAATTTGACCTCTAGTGGTATTACTGGTAAAAAGAGGCCTTCTAGACCTTATCACGTAGGTCCTGAAACAGATCCAGGGTCGGCTTGATAATCTGTTCGCGTACACATTAATCAATGTATATGAAATGTATCAAAATGAAAAGTTTATTGCAGTTATAACACCAACTAACCAAAAATATTTGGTTAATTCGCGGCGACCACCCTGTTCGCAATATCAACGAACCTGTCTCGCGATCGTTAAAGCACGTCATTGCAAATCAGTTCACGTATATACGCGTTGCATACCGAGCGACAAAAATGTCAGAAAAATAATCTCCACCGGAAAGGGAAAAATGGAAATTCTCCACGATGACGACGCGACCGTCTAACCATATTTATGCAGCTGGTTTCGATGCGAATGACGCAAACGAATCTAAGTTTTTGCTTAACTGGATCGTGTTTCCTATTAGGTGCCCGGCCCGTTACATATACAGGGTGTTTGCTTATATTCCGACAACTTATCTACAGGAATTTTCGAACAATCATTATCTCTCAGAGGGCTAACAACCGCGGTACATCTTAATAAATAAAGCCCTGGCTTGCGTGCTCGTACTGAAAAGAATGGTCCCTTCCACTTTACAACAGGCGGGTCTTAAACTCATTCCGAACTCAAAATCATAATAGGTAGTAAAAACGGTATATCTTTAGGCGAACTTTACCTCCTGGGACGGAATTAACACGACTTATGTCTAAAACGGATTATCCATGTTTTAATTTCTTTGTATTCATTCAACCCTTTTTTCTCTAAATATGCGACATGCTATAGCGCAAATTTTATGGCATTCTCCGAAAATCACAAATGAAATCCTAAATATGAGCAAAACTGCAATTATTTTCAATTCCAGCCATTTTTGTCGCAATAACTGGCAAACTAAATTATTGTGGCTGACTAATTTCAATCAAAACGGATATGCGGGTACATTCTGGACAAACACCTTTATATCTAAAATGAAATGAAAAATTACAGGGTGAAAAAGCAAGTATCATCAGTCAAACTTGTCGCGTTTTTAACCTTTTTCTTTTAAATTTTTTGCTTAATTTTTCCTTTTTTTCCTCTGTACATCTTGGAACGTAACCAGGTTGTCAGTTTGGAAAACAATTTATTCTAAGATTATGTAGTTTAGCGAGCAAATATATCAGAGCAGTGAAGAGGAATAATGACCTTTAAATCGTAAATTTAAATTTTACATTTATTATATGTGTTTTAAAGAAAGTCGATACGGTTCTGCGCTGTTTCTTTATTCGAGAGAGTTATATATTATTATTGAACTGTAACGCTGAGTGGTCTTAACCGTATTCCATAGGCGTAGTGTGATGATTGTTAAGGGTCCAGAGAGTAGTAGGTAGACGGCCAGGTAGTTGACCTACCTGTCTTAGTGTTGCAATTGTATAGAAGAAACTAGATATAAAAACTTACTGGTGAATTGTCGAACAAGTCCCAAGACGCTATACATATCATCTTTAAGTTAAAGCGAAGGTTGAAGCTTTATTTATTGTATATTTTTTATATTTATGTATTTTTATTTATTTTAGTTTATTATAGCATACTTCCAAAATTATTAGGAATCCGAATAAGAGCTATAAAACCCTATAGAACTTGGTTTGTTTCTTGAGTGTTCTTTAATAAACCCACTTACATGATAGGTGTATCAGCCGTAATATAGATAGATAGACCTAAGATAATAAGAAAATAAAAATATTAATTTTCCCTTTAATGTTTGTTTATTTGTCGCTTTTATATTAAGATATTAAAATGAAGGTTTTAGGCGAAACGGTACGCTTGTCTTAATTATTAGTAAGCTAGACTTAGCACATAAAGATAGTTTGCGTAAAAATTGAGACTTAAAGGTCTTCATTCAAAAAACACACTTGAAATTTTTCATTTCTCTTTCCA